GAAAGAAAGAAAGAAAGAGAGAAAGGGAGAAAGGGAGAAAGGAAAGAAGGGAGGAAGGAAGGAAGGAAGGGAGGAAGGAAGGAAGGGAGGGAGGGAGGGAGGGAGGGAGGAAGGGAGGGAGGGAGGAAGGATAATAATAGTTAATTTAAAAATGAGATCAGGTCGTTAGAAATCATAACTTTGTCATTTGCTCATTTGTCTGGTAAACAGTATTGTAATGGCCATTTCTTCTCCTATTGGAGAGCTTCAGCTCATTTTCTTCAGTCTCTCCAAATAAAAAATTCTGTAATTTAATGCAAAAAATATTTAGAAGTAGATGATATTCCTATCCCTATTTAAGTAAAAATAGGTCTAACTCCTTTTTGTCAAGTACTTTGAACTTTCAGTACTTAGGCAAAATATAGATAACCTTCTAAATTATTTATTGATTATGTGTGTAACTTAATGTAAAAATATTGAATGAATAATATTCTTGAATGAATTATCCATTTAGGTGTTTTGTGTCATGGTCTCTTGGCTTCTTTGAATGTGTCTAGCAATACTACAAAGCTGGTTGGATTTGATTTTTTTTTAAATGTAATTCATTCTATTTCACGTTTCCATTGAGCATGGATAATCAAGAATTCATGGTATTATGGATTTCTAAATGTCAGAGATTATAAAGCTGTCTTGCCTGTTACAGTAAGAACTTCATTAAAGGCTATCATGTATTCAAAGGAGTGTGTAATTCAAAGCAGCTGCATATCCAGCTTCTCATCTCCAGATGTATTATTGTCCTTTAAACAAAAACATCACATAATCCAAGTATTCTTTAGTTTCAAGTCTAGTTTCTCAATGCTGGGTATGTTAAGATAGAACTATGTTTTGATAAAGTCAATTCAGAGCTTTGCCATCAAATCTATCAGTGTGCTTTCCCATTGGTTCATGCCCTTGATTCTATACCATCTTTCCTGGAGCCTTTTATTTTAGCCTTGTACCCAGAAACATGCCGAAACCAAAATTCTTCCCTTTTCTGGGTGTGCCAGTCCTGGGGTTTGAACTCAAGACCTGAGTATTCTCCCTGATCTTTTTTGTTCAAGGCTAGTGCTGTCCCACTTGAGTCACAACTCCACCTCCCTCCCTCCCTCTCTCTGTCTCTCTCCCTCCCTCTCTGTCTCTCTCCCTCCCTCTCTCTGTCTCTCTCCCTCTGTCTCTGTCTCTCTGTCTCTCTCTGTCTCTGTCTCTCTCTCTTTCTCTCTGTCTCTGTCTCTGTCTCTCTCCCTCTCTCTCTCTCATTCTGTGTTTAATTGGCTATAAGAATCTCACAGACTTTCCTGCCTGGGCTGGTTTTGAATTGTGATGCTCAGGTCTCAGCCTCCTGAGTAGCTAGAAGGCATGAGCTACCAATGCCCAGAAGAAATCTTTATGTTCAAATGTTTTGGTTCTTATTAGGAAAGCATCTCCCTTTTCTTCCTCCCTGGTGGGCCTAGATTACCCTAATACTGTTTTCTCTTATTCATGAGATATGTGTTATTTTTTAATAAAGGTGACACATACCCACTGAAATGGAATGCTTTTTGTAATTGCATGTGTCTTTAAAGAACTCACTAAAATTGTTTTCCTTTAAAAGGTTACATTAATGACTAAAAAAAATGGGATGAAGTGACTGTAGGAGGAGGCAACAATGCTTGATAAGAAATGTGCTCATTACCTTGCTCATGTAACTGTAATCCCTCTGTACAGTATTTTCACAATAAAAACTTATTAAAAAAGACTCAATAAACAAAAATTATCTACCAGATGGATCAAGACAGGCGAAAACCTACTGTAAAATGTTATCCTTTTATCTCATAGTAGCTGAGAACATACTTAAATTGAGATGCAAATAAAAACTAATTTCACCTCCTTCTGTCATTCCTCCAAATGGTCTATTTTGATCAAGCTGTCATCAATAATTTAGTAAGTCACCTTTTACAAAGGGCAAAATTCTTATCATGATGTAAACCCATACATATCTCACACACACACACACACACACACACACACACACACACACACACACACACACACACACAAATTCTATAAACCCTCAGGCTTTTGGTTTTGGCAACCAACTGGCTGGCGTTGAGGGAAGAGAAAAGGGGTTAGCAGCAAGTGTACTTAGGATGGGTGCCACCCACCATCAAGTAATAGATTAAGTAAAAGTAACCAGAGGGAGACCACAGCCACTAAATTTCAACCAAAGAGACCCTAAGTATAGAACAATAAATAATTTTAATAATGTATGTTATTATAAGGAACAAAGCACTATAAACAAGCACTCACAAAATCACTCCAGCAGGTGCCAATGGATCATGCTTTTACTCCTATCTACTTGGGAGGCTGAGATTTGAGGATCTTGTCCAAAGCCCGGCCAAGCAGGGAAGTCCATGAATCTCTTATCTCCAATGAAGCACTAAAAAGCTGGAAGTAGTGCTGAATCTCAAGTGGTAGAGCACCAGCCTTGAGTTAAATAGCTAAGGGACAGTGCTAGGCTCTGAGTAAAAGCCCCAGTGCCTTCCCCCCAAAATCACCCCATGTGGAAAGCACACCACCTCACCTTCCATAAATCCTCCAGCATCTTTGGTATAGAGAGGATCATAGTTTTTTTTAATTCCATACACCTTGGGCTGGGAGACATTTCTCATTTATTAATGCAAACAGTATTTTTCAGTACATCAGGACACAAGTCCCAATTCAAAGGGTGTTACGGAAATGCTGGTATGGATGAAGCAAAAGGAACTGACACACTCAAAACCCTTGGCAGCTTCCTGGAGTCCTGCCTTATTATAGCCAGAACTGCCTAATAATGAAGTCTTTTCAGTGTGTTAGTAACTAAACACTCTTGGAAGAGGTCCAACATGAACCACCTCTCCAGGAGTCTCCAACCAGGTAACATGACACTGAAGTTTCCACAAAAACCAGTGCCTACATTTGATGAATAAGTCATTAGGACAGTCCCTAGGATGCTAAAGGGATTAGTTTTCTTATCGGGGGGCACACAGCCTTGTATATATGCTTTAAGCTCCAATTCATCATTTCAAGAGAACATCTGGCCTCGGTATCAAGGTTTATCATTTGCTGATAAAAGACCACAGTGAGACTGACAGTGGACAGTGAAATTATAATAAATGGAATTAGTAGAAGCCACAAAATATATGTCTCAAATATCCAAATCTACCCCTCCCCCATCCCCACTATAAAAAGCTATACAATATGTGCCAACAAAACAAAATCAGTCTCCCTCCGAAGTCTATGATTTATACTAAAACTAAAACTTGCTGTTACAAAAAAAAAATACTGTTTGTCTCTTAGATGCCCCAACCACTCCCTTAGAAACCTATTGAAGAAAATGATTATCAAGGGAAGAGTGATTTGAGTATCTTTCTTATCACCACCTGCTGTGCCCCTCCCCAATTTTCTTCTAATCTCCTTAGTCCCAGGTTGCTGCTTCTCCAAGCTGAGAGCTCAGAGATGCACTAAAGTAAACAGATCTGTCACTGGTGTGGTCCCTGGTCAGAACAGCTTCATCAAGTGGCTGAGATGCTATGGATAATGTTCAATGCAGGTTTCTAGTCTGTAGCGGAGGCCAGCTTTATTTCTGATCTTGCTCATGGCTCTAAGAGGAAGGCGAAATCTGGTTCAGCTCAGTCTCTAGCTAAATGCTTTTGCATTAGGAAGCATAACTCACATTTATTGTAAATGTCATCATGCCTGTGAGCTGAGAGTGTTTACAGTGTCATCCTAGGGCTTTGCCTGATGGATGGTTTAGTTTTCCTTTTTTTTTTTTCCCTAGGAGTTCTAAATATCAAAGTTTCAGGAACTTTCTAGTGATTTTGACAGAATTGACAGAGCATGGAGACAAAGCCTCCTTCCTTGAAGATTCTTGGCTATTTCTCAAAGGTCTACCGAAGACGCGCTTTGCGGTCACATTTCCCTTTATCCTGAATGTAGGTAGGGAAGAAAAAAAAAGACACACAAAAAAGCGCCTGGTGCATCCTGAAAGCATACAAACAACATTGAGAGGCCAAGAAACTTTCCCTCAAGCTGTTAGCACAAGGGAGGGAGCCTGTTAGTATAAGTTATGCCCTTCACCACAGAGGCTAAGAGGAAAACCTTGCTAAGCCATGAATTTCAATCTGCAGTGATTTGCTTTGAAAAATAGGGTGAGCAGATTTTAACTGCAGTTTCCAAGAGGCGTTTACTGTCGACCACGGCGCTTTCCCCCGCACACATCCACTTCTCTTGGGGTAGATGATACATCCCCTATTTGCCCAGATGGGTGTTTAATAAGCTAGACATTCAAGCGCCTGACTTGGTGTATTTGCCATCCAGAGATGATCAAGCCTAGTAACACACTGAGGGCGCGAGTTAGGAGTGGGTGTAAGGTCTGGACCACAGAGTTCCCGAGGTGTCTAGTTCAAGTGCGGGGTTTTGGTGTTATTTTGTTGTTGCTCTCTCTCTCTCTCTCTCTCTCTCTCTCTCTCTCTCTCAATCTCTCTCTCTCTCTCTCAAATCTATGTATGGCCCTGGGGTGGCAGAAAATGGCATTTGCTTCTGGATAAACATAGCTAAAGTCCAAACCAGGGAGGGGAATTCCACAGCTTGATTGAGGAATCGCTCGAGAGTCTGAGGTCCCGCCGCCCTGCTCCCGCACCCAGGGCAAGAGGGCTTCGCTGCAAATGGGGTGTCTCCCCTTCCCCCCTTTTCCACGCAGTTGCCTTCAACTACTCACCCACCCCCATCTCGTCCCCTCTACTCTTCCATTCCCAAACGGAGCCGATTCGGAAGGCAACTGGCGGAAAGGCACCGTGGGGGCTTGAGAGGAACGATCTCGGGGCAGCTCACTGGGCGCCAAGACCGCAGGAGGGAGCGGCGGGGGTCCAGGGGTCCTGGGGCGCGGGGCTGGGGTGCGGGGACGGGACGCGAGAAGCGAGGCGGGAGGGGGTGGGGATGGGGGGGGTCTCATCTCGAACACTCACCTGCTGCTCCGGCTCGAAAGCTGCGCACGGTGTTGCCCTGGCGCAGTGGGTGAGGGCGCAGGGATTGGGAGCCCCGCTCCCGGGAGCCCGGCTTCCGCGCCGCCGCCGCCGCCGGGGCCCGGCCGCCGCCGCGGTACCTGTCATACAGCCGCAGCATGTGCTCGGACACCTGGTCGTGCGGCTGCAGCTCGGGGCTGAGACCACCACCTGCCGAGCGATCGCCGCGCACCACCCGGGGCCGTTCGGGGAAGTGCTGCTTCGGTCTCTCTCCCCACACCAGGCTCACGCAGAAGCAGCCCAGCCACACACAGAGCAGCCTGAGCGCCCCAGCCATGGCGAGGCGTCCCGGGGCGGTGTCGCGCGTCCGTCTCCGCTTGGATCACCGGGGGAGACACAATCGGGAGGTGCGAGGCGCCGACCTTCGAGCCGAGGGTGGTCCACCCGCAGGTGTGGCGGGGTGGAGGCGGGAGAGGGGGGTCGCTTGGAGCCCCGGACCCAGCGGGGCGCCCCGCGTCGGGCGCTGGCGGAGCGCCGAGAGGCAGGTGGGCTCTCCCCGGCGGTGGCGCGAACCTCACCCGCGCTGGGCGTTGCGGGCGCCGCTCCCCCGCACCGCCGAGGACGAGCTGGAGGTCTGCGCGTGTGGCCTGGGTCTTTGCGGGAATTGCCTGGCTGGCTCTCTCTCCACTTTCCTCACTTTATTTTCACGAACGCACGGGGGGCGGCGGCTCCGCTGGGGATGAGGATCGGGGCTGCCCGGCGTGTGTGCGGGAACCCAGGGTGCGCGCAGCGGTCCCCGGGGCGCTCCACCGCTCTTTCCAGACTGGAGGAGCGTCCGAGAGTTTTTGAATATACGTAGTGTGTGTGTGTGTGTGTGTGTGTGTGTGTGTGTGTGTGTGTGTGTGTGTGTGTGTGAGAGAGAGAGAGAGAGAGAGAGAGAGAGGTTCCCTCCGCCCCCCTCCCAGCTGATCTGCCCACTCCCCAGGCCGCCAATGCAGCCCTTTCGCCCTCAGGCTCTCCCAAGTCCTCAGCTCCGACCTGGCTAAAGCCAGGCAAGCCAGGAGGGAAATAACCCGCGAGCCAGTAGGGGGAGGGAGAGAAGAGGAAGTGGGGGGTGGGGGTGGCTGAGTAGGGGAGGGAGAAAGGAGAAGATCGAGGAAGAAAGAGTAGGAGGGACTTTAAAAAAAATCTCTTAGAAAACAGACGGAGAGACAAATAGAAGAGTGTCTTCCGGTGGGATTTTTTTTTTTTTTGCATTTCACGTTCAGATTCCAAGCAAAGTCGCTTCTTGAAAATTAACTTGACCCCCTTTGCTGGGCCTCGGGGACAGCCGCAGGCCCCGACACCTGTGCTACCTGTTCTAGAAGCTAAACTGTCAAGGACCCCTCCCTTACACATTCTCCTCTTCTCCCGAAAGCGGGAAAGCCCATCCCAAGCTAACATCTGGAAACGGGGAGAGCTGGGGAAGCCAACTCCCATCCCGGACAGCGCCCCCATCCCCCCTAACCACCTCAGGATCTCCTGCCAGATGGTGTGGTGGTGGTAGAACAGGGTTCCCCAAATCCCCTAAGTGTTCTCCTAACTCAAGAGTGAAGTAGCTGAGGCCCTCGCTCACACTCCCTTTTCTGGGCTGTAAAATGGAGAGTAAAGGACTAGCTATCATTTAACCTGGAAGACATCATTTAGCCTTTCGCATGACCATTTCCAGAGAATTTTCATGATGAAGCCTATTTTACACACCAGTGGTGACTGGATACTTAGTTTCCACTTAGCGCTACACTCCAGAGAATAACTTCTAGGCTAGCAATTAAAATGAACAACCTGTGTGCAGATTCTTAGCACAGTTCCTTACCAGGTGCAACAAAACCCTCAATCAAAATTCCTTTCAGCTCTGTTTCCCCTATGCAGTGTGAACTTGAGTGGAAAGAAGACAAGGCTCCGGATCAAATCCAACCTCCGCATCTCAGTTTCTTCTTCATGATGAACAACATACACTTTTTAGAATTTTGTTCACAAAGCTTTAGTAGTGGTTCAATCCACTCCACCTCCCTTCCCCCCCCCCTTTTTTTGCTCAAATTTATCTCAAGTACTAATTAGATTCTTCTCAGTCACTCACTTCTCAACCAACTGTGGTTTGGATTTTGCCCTAAGCCACCCTGGAGACTGTTCTGCAGATAGTAACACATAAGAATGATTAGAATCTTTTAATGAGATCAAGAGGGTGATCTTTGCCTGGCCTAGAGAACATAATGGCTTTTGTGATTGATAATGAAGACCAATATTCAATAGGCCTTAGTAGGACTTTTTCCCTTGAGAATCTTGAGTTGTTTCCTCTCCTTTGTACCTTTGGAGAAAGCCAAATTGAGAAGAAAATTTGTTGTTTACTCCTGCTACACCAAGGGCTACTTCAGGGCCTCCTCCAACGGGAGCCCTCATTGCTAGTATTCATCTTCTTTCTTTGGAAATACCCCAGAGGCCTTCCTTCAGCCCATTTGTTGTTCTGTCCCCAACATAAATTTTAGTTTGTAGGAAGCCATGGTGGATTACTGCAGATAAGTAAATGTCATCATTGTATTTTTTACCTCTTCCTGGCTCTGTACTCCTTCCCCTTTGCCTACCTCCTTTTAAATATTAAGCACAAAATAATAGTTCTTGTCTTATAGGAATTTACAGTTGAATAGCCCATGTCATAAAATGACCAACATGTACCTGTAGTCATAATACTAGAGATGTTGAAACAGGAGGATTGTGAGTTCAATATTAGCTTGAACAACATATCTGTTCCTAAGAAAAGAGATCAAGGGAGGGAGGAAGAGAGGGAGAGAGAGAGATTACCATACCTATTTATTTTAGGGACCAGGTTTTACATTCAGAATAAGCAAAGTAACAAGATGTTCAATATATAGAATAATTCCTGACAGAGAGTGTCAGCTGTAATTGTAAGACTGGAACCCAGTGTCTGAATATGGAAGCCAGCAAAGTACAGAATACTGTTAGGAGGCCAGTCCTAAACTTAATACTATCCATGTACAACCAATACACCCAGGAAGATGGAGCAACACATGAAATGGGTAAAGACAAGAGCAGCAGATCCAGCAGTGATAAGCAGAGGCACACTGCTAATCTTGTAAGTAACTCTTGGGAAATTGTTGAAAGGAAATTGAATTGGAAGTAAGCTATTCTCACATCAGAACACCCAGAGATGCCATCTGAAGATATACCAAGAGTGTGAGTGGTGTAGTGTGTTTGTTGTTTGAGGCCAAAGAATCTCCAATCTAGTGGATTAAATTCTTTCATATGGCTGGCATCCTTAAATACTTCCCCCCAAACCACTAGATTGGAGGATTCGTAATTCAGGCTAAGCATCAGTTTTCCTTAATTTATGGAAAATCCACAGCTTCCCAAGTAGAGTTACTTCAGAGCTCAATATATTAGGGCTCAAGTCCCTCACATCTGATTTCTCTATGGTGTCAGATTAACTCAATAAAAGTGTTTTATTTTTAAATCATTGGACTTTCCTACTTTATATCAGTGTTACTGTTACAGGCAACCCTGGAACCATGGGACTCATCTTCTCTTGGAAGTCTAAGAAAACTATCTATAATAGAAAACAAGAGCAAACACAAATTTGAAATTCTAGTACATTATGTCAGGTTGACCTCTACTTTTGCTACAAAAGCCTGTGGGTCTATGTGCATATGTGTTCTATTCATGTTCATGTTTTTACTGACATTGTTGAACATTAAATACATTCCTTTTCTAAAATTATTGCATAAAATTATTCAGTACTCATGTTAGGCCATATTGGCATTTTTAAGCTCTACTTTCTCCCTATTGTTTTTATTATTCATATTTTTTATCACATTCTCTCAATAAATATTGTTCAGTGTGGCCTTGACCAAATTTATTGTCGAGGCTAAAAAATCAAATCCTATGCCTCCTCCTTTAAGGAACCAGTCTACTTGGAGATCTGAATATAGTTTATTTTTCTGGCTAAGTATTTTTATCTGCTGATGATAGCAGGGGTGCTGATGGAAGACAGCATACTTAAGCTGAGATTAAAAGTTAACCAGGTGATTTTCTAAGAGTAATTCCAACAGGATATTCCAGGCAGAGGAAGAATATCAGAGGTGGGAAGGAGCTTCTGGGATCTTCTTACCACTTTTTGCAATCCTTCTCTGCTTATTTCCTCAACTTGCATTAGCCATGTATTTTTCTTTAGTCATCAAGATTGCCCAAATGACATTCCTAACTCTGACTTCTCTACAGTGCTTCATCCTCTACTCTCAATAAATGTGTGATCAACTTCTTGATTTCAGTTTATCAAATATAGATGTAATAGGAAGTAATTCAATTTACTTCTGCAGCACACATTTACTGAGAACATATATAATAAATATAATGAGGAAAGCCAAATTGTGGCTAGCTTATTTCTTACTTATGACGAATAGCAAGTATGACTAAGGGAAGATATATTTCAACCAAATTCATAGATGGTTACAGGCACAGAATATTTTAAAAGGAGTGGGCAAGGCATAAATGAAAGCATCAAAATTATCTGCAAAAATATTTTATATACCAATGAGGGATGTTTTTGATGCTTCTTAAATAATTTTGGGGGGGTGAGTCGTGGGGCTTGATCTCTGGGCCCGAGCACTGTACTGCACTCTTCAGCTCAAGGTGAGCACTCTACCATTTGAGCCACAGTGCCACTTCCAGTTTTTGAGTGGTTTATTGGAGATAAGAGTCTCATGGACTTTCCTGCCCAGGCTGGCTTTGAACTGCGCTCCTCAGATCTCAGCCTCCTGAGTAGCTAGGATTACAGGCTTATCACTAAGATCCCCAGCAGAGAAATCCTGCTAATAAGTTTAATCAAGGTCTCTTCTCATTCTGGATGTCATGATAATTACAATTATATAGATGTTTTTTTAATTATCTCAGTTTTCCATCCATATTCAAGATAAGCTTTGAGAAAGGAGTGTCTACATCCATTATGATAGACCTAATTGCTAGTAGGATAAAAATAAATACCCTAATGATGAATACATACATGAATGAAATAATTTTGAGTACCACAGGTATTAATTAATCTATGATGTTTATGGCATCATAATTACATTTTTAAAAATTGTGTATTTAACTGCATATTCTATCTGTTATGGGCTAAAATGTAACATTTGGAATATTCACAGTGTGGAATTATTAAATGAATAAACCTATTTCCTCACATCAAAATCAAAATAAATAACATAAAATGAACCTGATGATTCTCACCCTCCAAACACCTTCTTGACATCTAAACTTGCATGAATGGCCCTATTCCCCTTTCAGCCATCC